AACCAGGGTTTAGAAGAGGATGCGGAACAAAAGACATCCTTGCCGATGTTAACTGGGTCTTGGCCGAAAGCAGAGCATATCAGAAAGTTGCTTACCTGTGTTATTGACGGTGCGATGGCAGTTGATCATGTAGATCATAACAAATTTTGTCCGGATTGGAGGAAGACTCATTCATAACCCTCAATATGCAAATGACACAACCTTACTTACTGAAAACAAAAGGGATTTGAAGCATTTACTAATGAAGATCAAAGAGTACAACCCTCCGAATGAATTATGCTTCAATATAAAGGAAACAAAAATGCTCACAATTTGACCAATAAGCAGCATCATGACAAACAAATAAGGAAAAGTTTGAAGTTGTCGAGGACTTCACCTTTCTGGTACCCACAATCAACAGGCCTGGAAGCTGCTGTCCAAAAGTCAGGTGACGTATCGCATCGAGAAAATCTGCTGCAGAAGACCTCATTAACATGCTGAGGAGCAAAAGATTCACTTTGAGGCCTTGGGAGTGCCCGACCCAAACCAAACCAGGGTATTTCCTGTGTATGAAAGCTGAACACCGAATACAGAAGACCGAAGAAGAAGGGATGCCTTTGAATTATGGCAAAGAATTTTAACTGTACCATGAAAAAAAATATCTTAGACTAAGGATAAGCAGTATACATCTGTATTCAAAAAAGTACAGTCAGCATGCTCGTTAGAAGTGAGGATGACAAGACTTTGTCTCACTTACTTTAGGTCAGCAGTTCTCAACCTGTGGGTTGTGACCCCTTTGGAGGTCAAACAACCCTTTCACAGGGGTCGCCTAATACATCCTGCATATCAGATATTTACATCACATTTCATCCCAGTAGCAAAATGACAGTGATGAAGTAGCAATGAAAATAATTGTATGGTTTGCGGGTCACCACCACATGAGGAACTGTGTGAAGGGGTCGCGGCATGAGGAAGGTTGAGGACCACTGCGCTAGATAGATGCATTATCAAGCTGGGACTAGTCCCTGGAAAGGACATCATGCTTGGCAAAGTAGAAAACCCAACCAAACTCGCTGCCACCAAGTTGGTGCTGATTCATCGTGACCCATTTGAATTTTCCAGGACGGTAAATCTTTATGGGAGCAGGCAGACCTCTCTCTCCCACTCAGAAGCTGGTCGATTTGAACTGCCAACCTGGGAGTTAGCAGTCCATCGTCTAACCGTAATGTAGAGGCTGCGGGACAAGAAGCCATGGACTAGCACAGTGGATGCAGCCATTGGACTTGCATTCAGCAGCGATTATGAAGATGGTGCAGGGCCAGGCCGTGTTTCCCGCTGTTGTGCAGATTCTCGTTTTGTGTCAAAACCAAGACCGCGCTTGGCATCCACCAGTTGTTTGAGCTCACATATTTTAGATCAAATGCCCATTGCCCAGCAAGCATCTTCAACCGTGCCATCTTTGACTAATAACACCCACGCCATCCCACTGTCCAGCATGCCGGGTAATCCCTGGCCCAGTCCTGAAGAATCCGTGTCCCCGTGTGAGAAGCCCACAGCTTTTACATGGCTTGGCCAAAGACACAGACTCAGCCAACAAAATCTCGACTGTATCTTGTTCTAATTCCCGACGCCTTAACTGATGCACTCAATCCTGTTTCTGGCTTGTGTGTGGTGGAAGGATGGGCTCCAGGCAGCCTGCTGGACTCTGCACAACTGATGACTTTCGCTCCCCAGTGGGGAGGCCAGGGGGCGGATATGGAGGCCCAGCATGTAACAGAAGGCGCATGCGGTTGGCTTAGGACACAGCGTTTCCAGTTGTATGATGTACTTGCCACGGTGGGTCCTGGGCATGTCTTGTTGGGCCCCAGAGCTGGATGAGGTGAGGTATAGCTAGAGCGGTGC